AAAAAATATATAATTGACAACCAGAAGATAAGGGCTATACCTCTAGTTTGTCCAAACCAGATGTCAAAATTTGTACAAATCACTTAACCTCTGTGAATCTCATTTCCTATCCAACATAGGAATTGGATAATCTCTAAGGATCCTTCAAGCTCTAAGATTTTATTAATTTTATAGACAGGCAAATAAAATGCCATGTTCTATAAGATATACTGTGCTGAGCATGCTGACTAGACTTCGACTACTGCCTTTAAGAGTAACTCACACACTCAAAATTACATCTATGTGGATATGGACATGAATACATGTAACTCAAGGAATCTGGCCAATTTTAACACACAGCGTAACTCAGGAAAACCCAGACCCGATGCTCTGTAAATACTACCCTAATTACTGTGCTGAGACTCCTGATAGATGAGTGAACAGCTAACAACTACCTCACCTCAACAGAACTGCCACTTAACTGGTGAAGTGCATGAATGTAGATTTTCATCTGTTTGTTTTGACTGTATCTGACTATGAAACCGGGAAGGCATGCTTTAGAATTCAATTGTCACTAACTTCATTCATGTTGAGAGAAAGCTTTACAAAATATGTGTGGAATGAGCCTTAATAGCAGAACAATTTGTGACCCCAAAACCCTTATCACTCAACACAAGGCTTCTGAAAGAGTATGGTTTCAGTTTATTTGCATTAACAAAAGCACATAAAGGTTTTCTTAAAATTCAGTTGCAAAGTGAATCATGGCAAAGTTGAATACCTGACTGCAAAACTCAGAGTCCTTTCATGCAAGATGAGGCGGCTAATTAAAATGTACACATTTATAAAAGTATATGACCTAAAACCATAAATCATTACTTTTATGGAGTTTGTGCAATACTGGGTCATCAAGATATTTACTTTCATACATAAAATAATTAACTTTGAGCTTTAAAAAATGTTTTTATTGATTTTTTTTTAGAGAGAGATACATCAATCGGCTGCCTCCTGCAGGCCCCGACTAGGGATGGAGCTCGCAACCCGGGCTTGAGCCCTGACTGGGAACTGAACCAGGACCTCTCAGTCCATGGGACTGATGCTCAATCCACTGAGCCACACCAGCTGGGCAACTTTGAGCTTTTTATATGAAAACTTATCTTTCTATTTTATGAACTTCAGAAAACCTGGCTAAAATCACTGATTTAATTCATTTCACATTTATGAGTATTATTATAGTTAATCCTAAAAGACAAACATTCATTCAATCCATTAAAAACCCAGAAGACAATATGAAAAATTTAGGCTCAAGTCATCACATCACATATAAAGCTGTTATCTGTGTCCAAATTAAGGGCAGCACCCCACGTAAAGAAGAGAGATTACTGGTCACCAAGGCAAAGCGAACACGAGTGACCCCACAGCACAGATGCAACATATAAGTCAACAGTATCTGCAACAGGATTCCACCAAATCCCTTCCCCAGAATGAGAGCATCTAGGGTCTCACTAAGGCATACGGTAATTGTGTTCAGCTGGCTTTCTTCAGTCACCAATGCAAAGACAGTGTTTAGCAGAATTCACAAAGGACTATTTTGTTTGTAAATAGGCTCATTCAGAGGTTTTCAAATTGCTTAGTGCAGGTCCTGGAGGAGCAGGAGATGGGGAGAGTTAACTGGGGGAAGCGCAGAGAGTTGGTGTGAAATTTCTATTTGTGCGTATGTGTGCATACGAGATGCACTCAAGGATGGCTAACAACATGCTAACTGGTAAGTATCTCAGGATAAAGGGATTTGAAGTGAGCTTAATTTCTTTTTAGACAATGCTCATTATTTTCACTGAGACTATATTACTGGTATTTTTCATCACAGGAGGAAAATAAGGAAAAGATGACAGCAACAACCCCCACCTAAGGCTGGACCGCAATAAAGGATGAGGGTTCTGGGCACAGCTTCCTCAGGAGTGCAGGACACCACCCCTCCACAGGACTTGCATTCTCAGGGGACACAGGAGAGAACTGGGAGGGGCAAGGATGAAGCCACTGTCTGGACGAGAACCTACAGAGCAGAACTGGAGCATCTGCAGCTGCAGAGAAGACATGGCTTCTTCTCGACAGCAGGGCAGGGTGCTGGCCGTGAATGCTCACAGCCAGGGTTCACATACCTTACTCAACTGGCCTGAATCTTAAAACAAGAAAATGACCTCGGCCCTGGCCAGTTTGGCTCAGCGGTTAGAGCGTTGGCCTGCGGTCCAGAGAGACCCAGGTTCGGTTCCCGCTAAGGGTACGTGCCTCGGTTGCAGTTTGTCCCGGCCCTGCTTGGGCCATGCAGGTGGCAACCACTCAATGTGTCCCCTTTCATATTGATGTTTCTCTTTCTCTCTCTTTCCCTCCCACTCTATCTGAACAAAAAAATGGAAAAATGTTCTCAGGTGAGGATAAAAAAAAAAGGAAAGAAAATGACCTCACCAAAGAAATCACAGGATTTGAAAAAGTGATCACAGATAAAATTTTGTTTTATTTGTAAGATCAGGGGGAGGGAATGGGAAGCACAGCTCATCACAGAAGAAATTTCTAGCAAGATTTAGTTCTGCATCAGTCCTTTAAAAGAATATTCCTGCCCTGGCCGGTTTGGCTCAGCGGTTGGAGCGTCGGCCTGCGGTCCAGAGAGACCCGGGTTCGGTTCCCGCTAAGGGCACGTACCTCGGTTGCAGTTTGTCCCCGGCCCTGGTTGGTCGTGCGGGTGGCGACCACTCGATGTGTCCCTTCACATCGATGTTTCTCTCTCTCTCTCTCTCTTCCTCTCTCTCCCTCCCGCTCTGTCTGAACAAAAAAAAATGCAAAAATGTCCTCTGGTGAGGATAAAAAAAAAAAAAAAAAAAAAAAAAAAGAATATTCCTGTTCACATTCAATGGTTACAGCAGACACAAAAAACTTTTTAAGCATAATTAACACCCTACGAAGGGAAGACTGGCATGAAGACAGTCGGTCAGTGAGGGTGCCGATCTCAGGCTACTACCTGTGCTTGGTGCTGGGAGCTGATGGGAGAATAAGCCCGGAGATGCAGGCCCCGCCCTCTGCCCGCACAGCCTGGAGCAGGAAGCACGCTCAAGTGCTGGGAAGCTAGAAGAATACGCCCACGATGTGTGCGAGCACCCGCACTGCCCCGGCGATGCAACTCCTAGGCACACTGGCCAGACTGTGGTGTCCACACATGCTGGACCACAGCTGCAGGCAGTTCATCCTCATGTAAACTGTAATAACGGAGAGTCTGAGAAACCCGTAAACTAATGAGTTACACAGCAGCACTGTTAGATTAGTTACGATTCAAAAACAGCATTTTTGTTTAGAAGGTCACTACTAACCATTGTTACGACCTGTTCTAAGGCTAGTTATACTTAGTACAGTTACCGATAAACTGTACCCAAAGGAGTATTTTAGGGAAGATAAAAGGAGAAAAAGCCCAGTAGAGTTTGGAGTCAGCAATGAAAATACTCATCAGAAGGGTAACAGAAAAGGTTAACTGCAGAAAGTGACGGGACAATATAATTCACACCAGCACATAACCACAAGCACTTGTTACCATTTGAAGAGAAAACAATGACAATGATGATGGAATATAGCTGGTACTGAGTCAGGCTGTAAAAACTTCTCGAAATGTTAAAAAAAAGAGAAATGGATGATTCAGAGCATTAATTCTCAACTCTTAAGTGACAATTAAAAGAAACCATTGTTTCTTATTCAAGATCATAAAGTCAAATACAACCATATACCACAACCCTTTGGACCCTTGTGGAAAGCGCCATGTAAATTCACACTGCTTCTGAGAGTGCAAAAGAGGCTGCGTCCTTCTTGCCAACTCTGCTGCCTGGCAGCAGTCATCCTACATGAACTCCACCTCTTGGTGTGGCCCAGGTGTAGGAGCTGAGGCCCACTGCACTGGGGTCAGGAGCCGGACCTCTCACATCCCATCCTCACACTGTACTGACTCATGCTCTCAGCCTCAGTTACTTCATTGTAAAATAACAGCTGCCTTGCTCAGTTATAAAGCTCAAAAGAGATAATAAACATAAACTTTACTTTGAGAACTATAAATGCCAAACAAAAGTTGAGCCTGGGCGGTGGTTCCTCCTGAGAGCGCTCATGGAAGTCTCCACGGTGCGTGTGTGGGTGCGCAGCTGTGTGTGCTGTCAGTCCCACTGCAACATAAACTTAAAGGAACACAGTGAGCTACAGCTGACCTCCGCTGAGCACCAGCAACGTGTGAGGCACCACCCCCTTTCCTTGAGAGATCTCAGTCTGTTACAACAGCTTTATGAAGTGGGCACCATTCCCATTACCTTTCCCATTTGAAATATGAGATACCTCAGGCTTAAAGAAGTGAAGTATCGGCCCCAAACTAAACAGAGCTGGCGCACGAGCCTCCAAGTGTGTGGTCTTTCCCACCGGCCAGTCCCGACCCACATCAAGTACAAAATGAAGAGGCTGGGAGTGGTACTTCCATTCTGCTCATTCTCGGCAGAGCACGGGGTGCCTGAGTTACTGTGAGCATCACGTGCGTCTCCCCCAACACCCGTTAAGACAGTAATAAGCAAATTCTGGACTTGCAGAATAAAAAGAAACCTTACATATTAACAAGCAAAGAGAGAATACATAAAGAACATATCTCTTTTTGTTATAAATAGTTGGCAAAGAGAAATTAGAAGCTTCAAGAGAATCCAATATTCTTTGGTTGTTCTTAATCAAACGAAAGTGATTTATCAGTTTAATCTGTTTGGTGGAAATTAAACCGAAGGAAAATTATAAAGCATTGTTTAGAAAGCCAATCTGACATTCAGATTAACCAAATACCAACGAAATGCAGATGGAAAACCAGGAAGAATTTCACAATGAATAATAGAAAGTAGAATCATAGGCAGGGTAGAGTCTTTGTTTTTAACCATCAATTAAAGAAAAAGTCATCTTTGCCATAAAACATTTGGTACTGCCATAAAATGTGCCCCCACCACCCCCAAATAAAATGAACTTACCTTTGGTTTTTTGATCAGCAGCCTGAAAAAACAAACAAACCAGAAATTCTTTAGGAATAACGTGTAGAATGTACACATCTCTGAAAGTTTATAAGCAGACTTTAATATTGGAAATTTTAAAAACAAGTTTTTGCCCAGTTTATTTACTAAAATTTACTACTGAGAAAAATGTCTCATTGTTTACATGCTATTGACTATATGCCAATATTGACTTAAAGGCAAACAAATCTATCTGGGAGCTCATTTGAGCTCCATATTTTAATACAGTCTAAAAGGTATATAGTTTAAACTACAAGATACATTCAAGTAGGCAAGAACAAAAACAAATGGCATAACTTGGTATATTAAATGCCATAAAATCCAAGCATGACTATAATAAGATTCAGAACTATTAGGACTATAATAATATTTAGGATTTGTAAAAGAACATTTGCCAAAGCTAAAAAATTATTTTTAACTTTTCTAATAAAATAAGTTGAATGGCCCCTCTGTCATCTCTTAGATAAGGTTGTTCTGGACAGTTTATTTCAGCTGGAATAGTATGAACATTCATTACTACCAATAACAGAAATAAACCTTCTTTAAAACATAGCTCTAATATTTCTAGGTCCTTAAGAAAGAAATGTTGTGGCTGTCACCCTATATTTATTTCATAGCACAATAGCTATTTTTTGCTAATTACAGATTCAGCGCCTTGACTTCTAAAGGTAATAAAACACAATTCTGTAACACGATGGCCATGGTGATGCACACGAAACACCAAGGATAACGAAGCCATAAGGTAGTGATTCCAGCCAAACCTTTTTCTGAGCACCTTCCTTCTTTTTCTTTTCTTCCTGCTTTTTCTTTTTCTTTTCTTCCATCAAACGTTCCTCTTTTTGTGTTTCTTGTTCTTTCTCCCTATTAAATATAAAGAAAACTGGTGTTAGTACGATGTCCATCTTAAATCAAAAAAATAAAAACGCATCATCTTTGGAAAGTTTTAAGTCCAGCAGCGTTTCCCATGTGGTCTAAGGTCACTGGGAAAGAGGCGGTACACTTCTCTGGTACTGCAGCAAGGTGCCCTGGCTCTGGTAGTGGTGCTGCTAGTCATTCATTCAGCCCATATTTGAACACCAACCTTTCATTAGGCGATAAGGGTACCAAATGGAGTAAACACAGTTCCTACAGTCATCAGAATCATGGGAGTACCTATTAAACATACAGATTCCTGGGTTCCAGCCCAGTCCAACCAAATCAGAATCTTTGGAGGTGTGACCTTGACAACACAGACACAGTGTGCTCCAGGCCTCCGGCTGCTTGTCCCACCTTGACACTTGTCTCTCATGGTCTTCCCAATGGGGGTACCACGTGGTCCATACCTGCTGCATTAATACCCCCACTTCCTCTGCACACGCGCATGCCCAGCCATACAGGTGCAGCTTGCTACCAGGAGGGTTGCCACCAGGGGCCCTACTTCCTGTAAGCCCATGCAACTGGTTCCTGGCTGTGGCTTTCCTGGGCTGGGCCTGTGCAAACCAGAGGCTGCTCTGCCATTCGAGGGCTGAAGCTATACCTTCTTCAAGACAAGTGGATCCAGTCTGGGGAGGGGGTGCTCTTTAGTCAGCCTTCCCTTGGGTACTACTCTCCCTTAGCCCCAGATACCATCTAGTTTTCTACAGTTAGTCTTTTACCAAAGTTGGATTATTCTTTACAATACACTTTCCCTGCTTACACCACTGTTCAGTTTCTGTCTCCCAGCTGCGCCCAGACTGACACAGGCGGGAGGGGAGGAACAGACCAAGCAGTAGGCACTCATGCACAAAGCCTCAGCCAAACATCCTCATCCCCCATTCATGTTGGTTCTGAACTTAATGTTTTTAATTTGTAGATGTGCTCTATATCCAACCATGCACATAAGGAATTTCAACCTAGGGTCAGTTTGTACACACTTAAAGACCATCAAAGGCAAGTGATTTAAATCAACACGGAGGAGGGTGGCTTAGAGAATATTCTTTGTGTAAAACAGTGGTTCCTAGACTTGGCTGCTCATCAGAATTACCTGGGAAGCTTTAAAAACTTCCACGTCAAGGCTGCAAACTTTCTGGGAAATCTCTGGGAGTAGATCTCAGGCATTGTTCCATCAAGGTTGAGAAAAACTACTTTTAAAGGAGGTCCATGAATTTACCCAGTTTGGAGAACAGTTTTGATTCATATTGTAGATGACAGTTTCCAGGAATGTTTCCAAGTTAGAAGGTGCAAGGACACTAAGGAATCTGCATTCACAGCATTCTCTTTAACCCTCGCTGGAAGATAGGTTTTATTGATTTTAGAGAGAGAGAAAGAGAAACATTAATGTGAGAGAGAAACACTGATCAGCTGCCTCCCATACACGCCCCGACCAGGGATCGAACCCACAACCTTTTGGTGTATAGGGCAATAGCAGAGCCACCTGACCAGGGCGACATTTACATTCTCACTAGACCCAGGCAGACCCATGAGAGATGGGCTGGTGCTATACTCACCAAGCCGTGACCTCTTGACTCGGAGAAAGTGAACAAATAAAAACCAGGTATATAGTGGGCGCCCGCCCTACTGCTCTACTTCCTTAATCTACACACAGCACAGAGAAAGCCTTAAATTATCTCCAGACAGTAAACTCCATAAAGTAGGCAAGTACAGCTACATTATTAAAAGGCAGTCAGTCAATTGATGATGGAATAAAAATGATTTTTGCTGAATTCTATTACTCTGAAAACTAAATTAATTAAGCCAACCATTCCCCCAGCAGTACAGGTAAGGTTTCACTGTAACAGTGAAATCAAACGCTGTGAGTGAGGAGCCCATGGCTCCCGTAGCCATGGGGTACCTCACACTTCCCTGCCTGAGCTCGTGTTTATATGACAAAGCACGATTCAGTGTGTGCTCTTTAATCAAGTTTCATCTCATTCCCCCCGACGAGCAGTCATTTCCCCTACTTCTGACTCTCAATGTACAATTTCTGCCACTTTTCATTAATAACTTTAAAAAACCAACATCAAGTCACGTTTTTACTCTACAAAGTAATACATGCTCATGGGTAAAAAAACCATACACAATATAAAAGACAGACTCCCTTTTCCAGTGCCCACAGCCCTCAACTTAGAGGTAACAACACATCAACAGCTCCTCGGCTATCTTTAAGAACATCTCCGTGCATGACTATACACTGCTCTATCTTTTAAGAAGGACAAATGGGAGCATATCGCTCGCTCTCTTCTGCATGACTCTTTCCCACTTAATGACACACTCCAACATGTACAAGGACACATCCCTTCACATCTTCCAACCCTGGTTTGGACTGCTGTCTCCTGACTTACTGATTTGAGAGATTAGCCATTTAATCCCTACAGTGATGGATAAGGATCTGGTTCTTATAGTGAACCTGTCTTCCACCTCATCCCAACTTTCGGCTAAATCTGTAAGTGTCGTTTGCTTTCTAAATATGTCAAAGTTCACCACAGAGCTAGGGAGCACACTGTGATTACGTTGCACTTCTTGTGTAGATGTTTCTTTTAGACGCCCTACTGTTTTTCTTTTTCTTTTGTACTAATTTTTTAGAAAAATTCTACCCCAGTTAAAAACATGAGCCCTTTCCCCACTGCATCCCCTCATCTTTCCAGAGCCCTCTGGACTGGGAGCACTCTGACAGTTTTCTAATATCCTCTACCTAGTTTGTTTTTTACAGTTTTTAATTGTGGTAAAATATACATAGTTACCATCATACCAGCCATAGTGTTCAGTTCAGTGATGCTACATTCACACCTCTGTAAAAACAATCTCCAGAGCTCTGTTCATCTTGCAGCCCTCCAACAATGCCTGTTGCTCCCTCTCCCCAGCCCCGGCAGCCACCGTTCTATTTTCTGTTTTTATCAACTGAACTACTACTTATTGTGGTTTTGACTTGTACTTCCCTAATGACTAGTGATGTTGGGCATTCTCTTCACATGCTTGTTGGACATTTGTGTATCTTTTTGGAGCCTATAGTTACTCTTTTGTCATCATTTAATTATTCTTGATATACAACTTATTTGTATCACTGTACCATTTCTACCAACCCGGACTGTCACAGTGGAAAGGAGGAACTTACCGACTAAGCAGGAGGACCGACACGTGCAAACTCCTCACCAAAACAACATCACCCATCCAGTAATGTTGATTTCAACCTACTAGCTCAGCCATTCTGACTCCCTTGTCTTCCTTCTTGAGTTATGCCCCTCAATTTGCTATAAAACCTCTTCAAGTAGCTTTTCTAGAAAGGGTAGTGGGAGGGTGTTTCTGGAGAACATGCATGCCTAAAAATTGATTTAGGCTACCTTTTCGTTTCATTGATGACTTGGCTGAATACAGAATTTTAGGTTGAAAACCACTTTGAAGGCACTGTGCCACTGTATTCTAGTATCTGGTACCTATGCAAGAGAAGTTTGATGTGATTGTACTGTTTGGTCCTTTTTAGGTGACTTTTTTTTCCCTAAGCCTCTCTTCATCCCTGAAATTTCATAATGTGTGTGGATGTCTTTCTGCTCCATTATTTGTGCTTAGCATTTGGCTGATGTTTTCAATATAGAGACATTTCTTTCCATTCTCTGTTTTCTTGAAAACATCTCCTGTTTTCTAAATGACAACATATTTAACCTCTTGGATTGATAGTCTACAACTTATCTTTTATATTTCCTGCTATGTCTTTTTACTGTTGTAGTTCTCAACTTTCTGGGTGCTTGGCTTAACTTGGTCTTTCAATCCTGCTATGGACTTTCAAATTCCACGATGTTTAAATTTTTAATAACTTTCTTAGTCTCTGCTTGCTCTTTTTCCATAACACTCTGTTCTTGTTTTATGGATGCAAAAGCATCTTTATTCTAACTGAAAATAGGGTTTTTCTAAAGTGCTTCTAAATTTTCTGGATTATCTCATTTTTATTTCTGGATGCTTCCTTCCTGGACTCTCTTTGCTGTGAGGGCCTTTTCTCAATTGTCTGAGGATCTCTGGTTGTCCATTCAAGCTTATGAAAAGTGAGGCACCAAAACCCACCTAGCTTTGTGTGCATGGCTGGACATGTTTCATGGTGGGCCTTGCCTGGCTGGGGGTCAGGTAAGGAGCTGGCTATTGTTAGAGCTGTCCCAAATGCCAAAACATGCAGCTTTTGCCTGTTCACTAGGGTGCTTTATCTACAGGATTAGCTGCTAGACCTTACCCACCTAGAAATGTTCCACTGCTGAAATTTTAGATGTCACTATTCTGCATTCTGACCATAACTCCCTGGCTTTATTGCTTCCACTGCACCTGTTCTTTATCTTCATGAAATCTATTTCCTGACTTCCATCTTCTTCTAAGCTGTATCATTCAGGAACTATACAACTAATATACATTATTTACTGTGGTAGGCACCAGGGACAAAAGAGGGATTGATTCTTAACAAACACTTCCTGAATAATGGCATTAAAACTGCTGTGGGATTTCAGGAGTTAAAAAGGCAGAGTTCATATCTTTTAAGGATATCCGTATAAATAATGAGTCAAACAAATTATCACTGTTAGAACAGTGAGATGTACAAAATACAGTAAGAGCGTGGAAGATGGACATCCAAGCCTGCCTGGGTGAGGCCCTCTAGCTCATGTCATCTCTCTTACAGTCAGGGGGTCACATGCCCTGGTTGTAATAAACACAGTGTGCTTTTCCTGTCCTCTGCATTATAAGTACCTTGGCGGCAGACTGTCTTCTGCCTCTGTGGCACCAACAAAAGCATGTCATCATCTGGAACATTTCTAGTCCACAATCTCAGCTGATATTTATAGTGGAGAAAGTCTTC